TGCCCTGGAGGATCTGGTAGAGTTGGCTTTCTCCTGATCCCATCAATTAAGCAATACCATTTAGCAGGACCCAGGAGGTGGGCCTTCTCTGTTATAGTATTTGCCCTCTGGAATAGTATCCCCTGGAGAGTCACATGGCCTCCATCTTGCCCACCTTTAATAGAGTGTTATTTTTTTAAAGGTATTTATTCATTCAATTTAAGCATTGCCCAATTCCAGACTGACAGTGGGCCATTCAAAATAGAAGACAATATAAAAGTAACATTCAACATACAAGAGTCAACAAATGGCAAATCCAGTCAATATGTAAAACAAGTATCATACACCTAGCAGGGGCCCCAACCACCCTAGCCCAAAACCTGAGAGAAAATCCAGGCCTTTATGACCCTCTAAAATGCCATCAAGTTGGAATCCACCTGGATTTTAGGGGGACCCTCATTCCAGAGGGCTGGCTCTTTCCGTAGGTCTTGGGTTAGGGTGATTGGGGGAGGGGGTTGCCTGTTTTTTATCTCTACGAGTGGGGAAGAGTTGGGTGTTGTTCTGTAGATAACACCATGTTTGGGTTTTATTTTGATTTTTTTTATTAGTTTAAATATTAAGCCAACCAGAGTTTTTGAAACTAGATGGCCTAGAAATTTGAAATATGAAGAACAAACAAATAATTCTAAACATGTCAGTTTCAATTTTTTGTAAATCTTGCTAGTGAATCTGAAACATAGTGGGCTACACTTGAAGATTTTGATAGATTCCAGGGATTATTTGGCATAACATTTGTTCCCAACATTTCCTTGAAGCCTGCAATTTTAAATACACGTAAAGTACATGGTAAAATACTCTTAAATAGTAAGTTTAATAATAAATTCTTATTAAAGAATTTGAGGGTATGTAACTGTGGTGGGTTCTGTTCATTTAGAGGTACATTATTCTCTGAGAATTAATGTGTTTTAGACTCTGGTTTACATTCCAAAAAATATTTAAAACATTTTAATTGAACTTAATTTCATACACCTAATATAATTTATTTCCAGGCATTTTAGTATTTTCCCTTTATCCCTTTCAAATAGGCTTTAGGGGCCTATCAGAGACTTAGAGAGGGCCTATAGCTTGGTAACTATGATTGCAACTCTATTTTTCATTTTCAAACTACACGAAATGTAAAGTACCTCAAGCCAAAGTCCACTCCTGATGTAGTTTTCTTGAAGATAACCCAAATGGCTACTGCCTTCTTCTAGGATCCTTTTTTCAGCTTCCTTATCTAGCCTATAACCCTAGGGCTTGTATCCAAGTAATAGCCAGGCTCTGTGCTACTTAGCTTTCTCAAGATCAGCCAGGTTTGTCTGGGTAGTGCCACCTTCTGGGGCTTTAAATGACACAGAAAGTTACATAGGTTATACACGTAATAGAACAAGTTCCATTCCCAACGCCTGTCCTTAAGTCGAATTTGTACATAAGCCAGAACAGTATTATTTTATAATGCTGTATAAGTAGTATTGTGTAATAAACTTGAACCATTGTATATTTAACTCAAATCATTGTGTACTTAACTCGAATTTTGCTACAGTAGGGTCTGTTCTTAACTATGGGTCTGTAACCTGGGGATTCTTAACCTGGGACTACCCATATGCACTAGCAAACTGTTGGCTGATATAGATTATTATTATCATCTCAACTAGGCAATGATGGTTAACTGCAATATACTCCAGAACTTCAGATATAATTACAATAGTAATTATCTTACTCAGATGACTTAAAATTTGTAGACGAAAGACACAAGCTAATATTGTATAGATAGTTCTCACTTAACAACCATTCAAAGTTAAGATGGTACTAAAAAAAGTGACATACAACTAGTGCCCGAAGTTACGACCATCACAGAGCCCCCCCAGTCATATGATCACAATCCGGGTGCTTGGCAACCAGCTTGCACTTAGGACAGTTGCAGTGTCCTGGGGTCACATGATCACCATTTGCGACCTTCCCAGCCGTCTTCCAGCAAGCAAAATCAATGGGGAACTGCATGATTCACTTAACGACCATGTGATTCACTTAACGACCATGTGATTCACTTAAAAACTGCCACAAAAAAGGTCATAAAATTGGGTCCAGTTACATGATGATTCACTTAATGATCGCATTGCTTATCAAATTAAATTCCGGTCCTAATTGTGGTTGTTAAGCAAGGATTACCTCTACTTGGTAGATGCCCCATGGTAACAATATAATTCCAAATAAGGAGCTAATCTTGCTTGAAAGAGAAGGAATGACAACACATAGCTCACGTTAGGCGGGAATTGTTATAAAATTACTGGGCAACCACATGATATTTCATTGAAATTATTCAATGTGATATTCAGGAAGTTTCCAGAAGTTTTGAGAGAAGTAGCTTTGTATATAATTTATTAGGCACCTTTAGCTCATAATTATAATTTTATAATTGTTCTTTTTTGAGAATAACATAAATGCTGAAAATTCAGCATTTGGTCCACATCACTTCTTCACCAATAATGGTGGTATTCTTTTGGGTTTGTTAATTTCTGAAGGCTGGTTTATATGCTACATCTTCCAAGTGAAGTAAGAGTACTTGCTTTTGGGGGTAACATATTATGTAGTGATAATTTTTTTCAGGTTCTACTGCAACAGCATTTTTCTGTCTATAAAATTTATGTATACATGCAAATCTAAAAGCAGACATCAAGGTTCTGTTTGGATCAAACCAGATACAGTGTAATGTACAGCTTTTTTATCCTTGAATTGGAAAGATGTACATCTAAATCAGCCCATACTAGGCTAAATGAGAAATAAAAAAGGAAAATAATAATTTAAACAATCCTTAAGAATGAGTAAGTTGGAAAGAAGTTCACTTTCCATTTGATAGGAAGATAAGTTATTAGTAATGCCAAATAATCATTTTTTCTCCAAATTATTAGACTACCTAGCATTTTAGATAAAAGTCAGGTTAGTTGGGTTTCCTGTCTGCTTCTGAAGGCTGTTGGGGTCAAGGGTTGCCAGCCAAGGAGTGGTATCTTTTCAAATACCCTAATTGCCTGGTTCATTCTCCTATCTAGGTTATGGCTCTTTGGGGATGATGACAAGTGTCCTGATATGCCCAGATGGCAAAACAGTTGAAGCTGAAGCCGCTCATGGCACAGTGACTCGTCATTATCGTCTACATCAGAAAGGCCAAGAGACCTCCACTAATCCCATAGGTAGGTAGCTTCCACCATTCCCAGTCTAACCTAGATCATGTCTTAAATAAATGTTACAACATAGCTCAGAGAAACCCTTGGAATCATCATCTTATTTTGTTTTTATTAAAATTCAGTTATGCCATACCTGTTAGCAGAAGACATGTTCAAGGGGAGAGACTCCTACTGTGAGAGCTAGGAGAATCTGTGTAACCACTGTGGCTTTGTAACCACAGGCTACTTTCTAAAATCTGCTCAAGAACAAGGTGTCGTTGTTTCAGTGAATGCTATGAATAGTCAAAACCCAAATATGGATTGTTAGGTTCCCTTTTAGACAGAGAATAGAAAGAAATAATGTAGGCAATACAGATGATGTTTGAACACTGTCGCCGTTGATTGATTTCTCTCTTCCCAACTTCCTAGCATCCATCTTTGCCTGGACCAGAGGTCTAGCTCATAGAGCAAAATTAGATGACAACAAAGAGCTCCAAAAGTTTGCTTCTGCCTTGGAGGATGTCTGTGTAGAGACAATAGAAGCTGGCTTCATGACAAAAGACCTGGCTGCTTGCATTAAAGGGCTGCCTAAGTAAGTGTTATCAGTTTCAGAGAAATGTCTGATTGAGAGAAATTGCTCTACATTAAAAGATTTAAAAATTTACTTAGTTATTTAATGCATGTATAGGCCACCCATCTCATATACATGACTCTGGTGGTTAAAATGTCCTATTTGCTTCTGGAAATTTATTCTTTAATATAAGCAAATAAGAAAAGACAGCTCATTTTAAAAACTAAAACCAGAACTACATTGTAAAATCTAATGATTGCGATGCTTTTCAGCCTGTCTTTTCCAGATCAGTTGCAGCCAATCTCTTCTTTAATTTAAGAAAGATTTAAGTCTGTATCACATGCTAATGTCATCCCCACCACCACCCTATTTGCAAAGATAACATCTTTTATATGCTTTAGCTAAAGTACAAAGCCAAGAAACTCTTAAAACTGTTTAATTACAAGTTTTTAAGAGTTTCACCCCACAAAAAAAATCAGACAAAATAAATTGTCTCTAACACAATTTTTTGAAAATGTAACCAAAAGCCACCTGCACCCATGGTTCTTAAATCCTACCGGCTATAAAAAAAAATACTACCTTGTTAGAGCATTTCTAAACCTTATACTCTTAATTTACACCATTGTTTTGCTTTTTTTATCATAGTGTGAAGCGCTCTGATTATTTGAGCACATTTGAATTTATGGATAAACTTGCTGAAAACTTGAAGACAAAATTATCTTCTCAGCCAAGACTGTAAGAGCTGGACTGAAGTATTCGCTGTGGAAAGACAATTGCCAGATGAATGAATGACATACATATACGTAGCACTTCAGAAGAAATTAACCTAAGCATTGTAATGATCAAACTGTCTCCTCCCCTAGGTTTCTGTAATGTTAAGAGGGGGAAAGGCACAGGTAAGGGCAGAATTAATGTCTGTCCCTGTGGAAAATGGCTTTCTTCTGGTCAGCCAGAACCCCAGGGGAATTACTGTTTGTTGAAGGGGAAGAGGCTCTAAACTAAGTCACTTTTAAGAATTTTATTCTGTAGCTGCCCAAAGCCTCTCACTTGAATATAAGTAATACAGAATATCCTTCTGACAAACCATTTTAATGAAATTGAAAAGGAGAATCCAGCCTGATAGGGACAATGTTATAAGAGGGTTTTATTTACTGGGGGGCAGGGGGGAGAAAGGGAAAAATGTTTTACAGGAAGCTTTTAACTATGACAGTCTTGTACATAGTACAGGCAGAAATAATTCTTGAGTTTCCTTATATCTGGTAGATGTCTAAAGATTAGGAAAAATTGCTTTCTGCCTGCATGTATAAGTTAAGATGGATCATTTCAAACTAACTTGTCACTCAGTTTTTATCAGCTGTAACACTGTTTTTTAAGCAGGCAAAATACCTAACAGAAATAAACACTAATTCCCATCCTTTTGTACTGTGGTCTATGAACTGTAGCTTAAAATTCAAGTTGCAAAGTTATCCTACTTGAAAAGGGTGTAGGATGTTCAGTTAAGAAAGGCTGGGTACGTTTTAACCCAGCGCATGACAGATTAAGAACTAGATCTTGTTATTATTAAACAAAAGTGCAATAATGGCATCTTGATATGTAAGTATGGGCATCACTAGTTGCCCAAGAACCTGGAAAAATTGGGCAGAGCAGATTATATTCCGGCTTTTCTATAGGGTAGGCATCACCGTTGGACCTGTGACACAACTGAAAATATGATGCACATATGTCCCACCTTTTTATGCAAAGGTGTGCATCATCATCATCATAGAACACCCATTCATGGAAGGCAAAATACTAAGGTGGTTCCCACTATAGTTTCCAGTCTCCAGGATGCTCAACTCAGTTTACCTTTTTTTCTGTCCAACAGTCCCCATTCTCAATCAAGCACAGAGCTGCAATCACGTTCTAATTTTCAAAGAATAATAAAATGCTAAATTATTTTGGGGTGGGGTGGGAGAGGGAGCAATGTTACTCAAGTATTTTGTGACACACCAGATGCCCATTTAATTTTAAAAATTAGGAAACAAAGTAATACATAGGAATAAGCCTTTGCAAAGAATCTTTTAAAAAGTGCATCCTGTAAGCCTTCATTGAATGTATACTCACACTGAAATGTATCTGCCATTTCATGGCCTGTTCACTGATGGAGAAATCACATCATTTTTAGCATCTTGAAATATCTGGTACAGTTGTTTGGCCCCCCCAACAAATTCTGAAGGAGATTTAAATTTGAGGTGGGACATGTTTTAACATCCCCCTACTGAAAACACTGTTACTACTTTTTCCTCATTTAGTATATCTATTAAAGAAAAGTTACTTCCAAAAACAAAGCTATGCTGATCATACATTCAAGGTTTTAGAATACAGTGGAAGCTCAACTGTAATATCTTTCCTTTGAGATCTAGATAAGAAGACTCACTTGGATACAAAAATACCCTTTACAATTCTACCTATTTAAGAGGTGAATAATATTCCACAGACTACTGAAACATTATTCCAAACTTTCTGTACACGTTAATCAGTTAAAGAACAAAACCCCTTCTCCCCAATGTATTTTTTCTATTTTCTCTTACACTGTTTTCTACATGAAAATTTATTTAATGAAGGATTTTTTTTTCATTTTATATCAGGCTAAAATCAGTAAGGTTATAACTCTATGAATTCTGCTTTCCAACCAAAATTAAAGACTTCGTCTTGTTTTCTTTTACAGTACTTTCATCAGAAACTCCTCTGCTGTTGCTCAAAGCTTTAAAAGCATTTTTGTTACAACAAATAATAGTGCTACCAACCATAATAATAATAATAATAATGGAAGACATGCAAGGTGGTAGAATGGCTGATCTTAGTTTCCATGTTATTTTGACGCTTTACCAAGCTTACATATAGGACTTCCAATGCATTTTGAAATACTTAGAATAAATCCAATATAATTCAATAGACCTAATTTGAGAAACAATTATTTGTAGAGAAAAATTTTATTTTTAAAATGAAATTATTAAAAATGCCTTAATTAAAAATAAAACCACAGCTAAGAAACAATTGCATTGCTGTTTGTCTAAAGACTAGTCATCAAATCTAAGCTGCATTTCCTCTTTTTTTGATGCTCTTGGTTTTCCTGGACTTTCCAGTTCCTTCTATTTCTTATTTTTTGCTTTGTAGATGGGGGAGCTGAGGAAGTCAGTGATTGTAAATGGGTCACCACGCCTCAGTTTTCTGCAGGAAAGAAACATGTAATTTGTCAGAAATACAATGTTGACTTCATATCCAGAAAACAGCATTCAGTTTGTACACCCCAAATGAAAAATTATGTGGGACAAATGTGAAACTAACCTATTCAGCCTTGGCTCTGCATAGGAAACATCATTTTTTCTTCGCCTGCTTGGACGTATTGGAGACGTTTCAAGAGGGACAGAATTGGTCAAATCTTTCAGTCCTTTGTTCCCTGTGAACAGAGTGAGGTAACTAACCAGTGCTTATGATATACCAATACTTCCAGCTGAATTCTGTTATTAAACAGCTGTAAATTACAATTAAGTAAAATCTTATTAGTTTAAATATTTTTTTCATTTTTTTAACCATTAATGCTGCAGTCCTATGCCTGTTCATTGGGAATAAGCCCCAATAATTTCTGAGTAGATGTACATAGGATTATACAGTATTCTATAGATATGGTCTTTCAAACAACTTATAGATGTTTGAGATATTAGTTATCAATAAGGTGGTATTGGTTCCTAACCTTCACCTCTTTCTGAGAAGATGGACCTAGAGTCATAGAGTTAGAAGGGACCTAATAAGTCATCAAGCCCAACCCCTGCAGAATTCACACCACCATCCCTGAAAGAGGTTTATCCAGCCCGTTTCAAAACTTCCAATGAAGGGGAAGAAACCACTCCATGCAGTAATCTATTCCACTGGCTGACAGCTCTTGCTGTCAAGATGGTCTTCCTAATGTCTAATCTGTATCTACATCCTTGACGTTTCGTACCATTCATTCTGTATCTTACCATCTGGAGGAAGTGAGAATAAGTCCAAACCCTCTACAATGTGACAGCCCTTCAGGAATTTGAAGACAGCTATTATGTCTCCTCTCAACCTTCTCTTCTGCAAGCTAGACGCACCTTGGTAGTTTAACATTAAGTCCATTAATATGGACTTATTTTCCATATTTAGGATACTCTTCAGGTATGTACCTATCTGGGCACACTCCTCTCAAGCAGGAATAACCAATTCCTACATGGCCAACTGTGTAAAGCCTGAGTTAATCTACTCATTATTTAATCATGATAAAAAGTTCCTATATGGACAGCCCTTAACTGCCACTAATGTCATTTAAGAAATATCTTTAAGGACAATGAATCTGACAAAAAACAAAGGCAAATTAAGAAACTAAGATAACAATTAAGTTGACAATTCTTAACTTAAGCCTCTGAATCTTAGAACAGTGAGTGATAGAGGCACAGATAACTTTAAAGGAATGAAGACCACTTTTTTATCTTAAAGATTAATTTATACACATTCATGTCAGTTTGTTCTGCTATCCCTACGATAAAAGTTCTTAAGTATTTCTTGGCTGGAATCCCAACATTCTCCATTCGTGGCAAAGAAACCAAAATTAGAAATAGGTCTCTCCCATTGCACATGTTGATACAGTCTGAGTGAACAGAGGCAAGCCTCTGTTGTATCACAGACTTGCTTTCCAGGACATTCTTTTTCATTCAGTGATGGACTATTACAGAAGGGATCCAAATCACCAATGTGTTGAAAACCCTGATCTAAATGGCAAGAGGCTAGGGTCATCAGGAATGAAAGAACTAAACTCGATGTGATTGCACAGAGAGAAAGTTGAAGGCAAAACCACAGCAGAACTCCATGGGGCCCACTATAAACCATCAATTTAATTTGTCTTTAACATTCTAACACTCACTGTTTTCTTGTACTGTTGCGTTTTGCAAAGTTATTTCTGGAATGGCATGTATGGGCTGCTTCTCCTGTCTTCCAGAAGCCATAGGTTTCTCAATATTTTTCTTGAAGACAGTTGAGATTGTTGACAATGCAGAATCTCTTTCTGGGCTTGCCTGGGCTTCAACAGGATGAAGCACAGAAGGTGAATAGCTAGAGCTCTTAGAATGGCCAAGTGAAGGAGAATCAGGATTTACAGGCAAAGTCTTGGTGATATTCACAATAGAAGGATTTTGCAGAGCTCTACAGCCTGGAACTCGGAGAAAGCTCCATCTTGTCTGATTGGCTTGACTGGTTTCACATTCCTCTGAACCTTGAGGGACAAACTCAGAATCAGGACCTTCATTACTGAAATCATTTACAGTGCATGTTTTCTCGGTAAATGTAGACATGGACTCCAGTTTTTTCTTTAAGCCAGCCTCATAGCTGTTGGCAATCCAGTTTGTCTTCTCTGAATGGCTATTTATTTTGGATAAAGAGCAACTGTTTGGGGTGGATGAGGTTCCCCAGCTGTTTTGGACTGAGCTCCTATCCCTGCCTTCAAAAATGTTATCTTCATCATCCAAGGAAATTGAAAATGCAGATGCTATATATCTTGATTTTTTTGTCTTCTTTTTACTGACTTTTGGAACTTTTTCACTCAAATCAAACACATCAGAACTGGCACTGCAAAGTTCTCTCTGTATGATATCCCTATCAGCATTCACTGTTTTACCTCTATGTCTTTTTTTGGTTTTACGTTCTGATTTTTGAAGCTCAGGGTCTGTATTATCTAAACTCTGTTCTTCCATCTCACTTAGCCAATGGGATCCATTAATTTCATGCACTTTCTTCTTTGATTTTTTACGCTTTACATTCAGTTCTGAAGTTGCTTCTTTACTAGGGACTTGCTTCTGGAAACCTACTGAATGTTCTGTACTCACAATAATGTTTAATGAATTAGACTCTGGGCTCTGGAACCATCTTCCTAGATTATCTACATTTTCCAAGTCTGTCTTTTCTTTAGTATCATGTTGAAAAGAAGCACAATCTTTCCTATCATCAGGAGGTCCTGGATCTAGCACAATGGTCTTTCTGTAACTTTTGGTTTTATTAGGGCACTTGGTACTGTAACTATAGCTTTTCTCATTTTGTTGATTTTCATTGTTTAATGGTCTAGACTCTGGACTTTGGAATTGATTTTCTAAATTCTTCATTTTTTCCAAGAATATTCTTTTTTTTATTTCTTGAGTTGTAGGGTTGCAGTTATTTACACAATTTGGCTCCACCACAAATGTTCTTCTGTTTCGTGTGGTTTGGTCTAAGTGTTGGGAACTACATTCCTCCTTCCTGCTCTGATCTGAATTTTCAATATGACAGGCAGACTTAGGAAGTTTTATCTTGCTATTGTTCAATTCATTGGTTTTTGACACTGCAACATTAATATCCATTCTTCCATTATTACCATTATTCAAGTTTAATTTTGATTGACTAGAAGAGCTTGTGTTCTTTGTTTCAGCATTTCCTTTTTCTAGAGTTTTTGTTTCATTGGCTTTGATCTTCATGTAGCTTTTACTTTTGCTGTTCAGTGTAATAAGTTCACCAACATGACTGACTTCAAGATTCTCTTTAGCAAGAGACTCTGTTTCCTTTGTCCCCTGCAAGTCATCAGTGTCTGACAGCTCTGTCTCAGAGTTGTTTCCAAATGCAACAGGTAAGCCTGTTCTGCGTTTCTTTCTCTTAGTCACGTGTTCACTCAGCAACATACTATCACTGCATGGTCTTATAGTATCCTCATATCGCTGGACAGGAGAATTCTTATCCAGGATAGACAGCAAGCAGCTCCTGGAATTCTGTGGCACATTCCAAAGATTGTCTAGAACAATAATTGTATTTATTAGGCAAAAAACAACAACCCTCAAATCCCCAAACATGCCATTTAAAAGACTTAGTGTGGTAAGAATACAAAAAGAGGTCTTTCTATCTAGTAAAGGGCCTATTTAGTTTACCCATTTCTCCAGTGGATATCAGCCAGATACAACTAGGAAGATCACAAACAAGATTTGAAAACAACTCTCCCCTCACTTCCCAGCCCCTTGTTTTGGAAATTACAGAGTATCTTAATATGCCTCTATATTAGATTGAGCTGAAACTAGACAGATAACTACATGTTTCTGAACTGCATTCTTAAAGAGCAAGATAAAGATAGAGAGAACACAAGTAATGAATACCACACATCCATAGTTAGAAGGAAGAGGTACCCAACAGCTACATTTAACTGCAGGACATGAACAGAATATGAATTTATGTCATGGAGGTATTGACATAGAAGTAAATCCCAGAGAACAAATAAGCAAATGTAACAGTGTAGCTCATAACATGATTTTACAATTCCATGTTCCTCTGAGTCACACAAAATACTGTATGGTATAGTATAAGATACAATTGTTCCGGAACATACCTCCAAAAATTGTGCTTGAATTAAGTGCCACAGCAGACCCAACCACTCCATGTAACTCTCGACCACTTTTTCCACTGGTTGCCAGTGATTTGTCGATGAAAGAAGAGAATGACTTCTTTAACTCAGGGAAGGGCCTACTTCTCCAAGGCTCCCCAAAAGCAGTTTCTGATGGATCTAAAGGAAATGTCTCCAGACTAGTGGATGTGTTTTTGCCATTGTCATTTTCTTCGTCATCTACATGTGAGAGTGGAATTCTCATAGATTTTAATATCACTCTGAAAAGCAGAAAGTTAAAAGAAAAAAAGGCTGACAAAAATAGGTTAATGTTGTGCCAGATATGTGGCAATTACTGTATAGTTCTTATCATGAAGGATTCAATTAAGTGTGAGGTAGTGGTTTAGGTGTTCAACTAGAACTGCTGAATTCTATATTCAAGCCCATGTTTAGCCATGGAAATTCATTAAGAGACTTCAGGCCAGCCACTCTTGCAGAACAACTATGACAGGATTCTTGTGGAAAAATGGGAGAAAGGAGCACTATGTATGCAGTCCCCTTTGCAAGGATAAACTGGCTTGGAAAAGAGAATGGAACATTTATTTATCATATGGCACATTCACATCGCAATTCAATATATTAAAAGCACAAAAGATAAAATACAAGTATAAAATTTAAAATTATAGACATATATTATAGTCTAGATTGGGGGACAACGACTGTTCGCACCTGTGACATTCCTTAAGTCACACGTGTCCCCTGGGTGGTGCCAAAGAACACTCACTTTGAGGTAAACATCTGAAGCCTCGAAGTTACGGCAGTGATCTCCTGGCTATATTACATCGCATTAAAATATGCCTAAGGGCACGAATATAAAATAGTCCTTTTCAGGACCCTACGACAAAGAAGCTTGGCCCTGTTATCAAGATTTGTCAAATAAATATAGAAAGAATAAGTAGGTCAAAGTGTCAGGTTCTACAAAGGTTTTTGACAGATAATGGTATCGATGTTGTAATCACGTTGATGATGAGAATGGAACAAGCATGGTCATACAAAACCACTTCTAAAAAGGTAAAGTGGGGATGGGAGTTAGGGGTGGGTGGGCTTAGTTTATAAGATGATCTGAGTTTTCAAGCTGGGAGAATCCATTTCCTAAATCTTACTGTTCTAAAATTTACCACCATCAGTACCCAGAATGCAGAGCCCTCAAGCAATGACAGCACAATACCAAAATTGTATCTTTAGGGTAGGGTGGATCCTCCCATGTCAATAGGACAACGGTAGATGCTGGTCATTATTATATTCGCCAAACGGTGCTAATGACAATGAAAATGATACCACTTTATTTTAGAAAGAAAGTAGGACCATCAACTATCTATACATGCCATGAATATCATACACTTATCTTTCTTTTCATTGAAAACAATACAACTTGCTTTTGTGCATACCGAGAACAGTTGCCACCACCCTGATTGCCAGAAGTATCACGAATACCACTGTGCCCTCTTTCATTCAGCAATGAAGAACAGGAATCACTCTATAGAGGAGAAAAGATCATTAAGATTTAAGATTAAGATAAAATCTTATTTAACATTTACCTCTTAAATTACATTTTATAATTGACAACCCATTCCAAAATTCTGCAAATGTGAGACCCATTTGTTCATATATATTGCTAAATCTTAATACACTTTGTTAACTGTAGCATGTATGAATCATCACAGATGAGTATTACGTGCAAACTGAATTACTGTGGCTTTTTCAAATCCTGGCATAACATTAATTGTGAAACTGCACCTTTTAGAATGATGCTTAAATATTTTATATTTGCTATGTTCATAGAATCCCTTCAAGTCCTGCTATGCTGCCTCATTGTGGCAGGGGGGTGTTCTTGGGAAGGATGAGCAAAGAATGCCAGGAGTATATGCCAACAGTATATAATCTAAACAGCATCACCCAAGGCATGAAGGTCATTCCAGCTGTCCACCTAAAGCAAGTAGACACCTAAATCAGGCAGCAGCAATGTAGGAAGTTCTGAGACGTAGATGATCATTTTAGTGACAACAGCAAAGGTGTCATTTCATACTGCATAGGAGAAGGCAATAGTGTATGACTCCTGTATTTTACCAAGAAAACCAAATGAATAGACAGGATAAAGTGATTGATGATATAGTGCCAGATGTCATTCAACAAGCTACTGAAAAAAAGCTGAGAATCTTTTGGAGTACTAATGGTATTAATGACTTGACTAGATTAAAGTTTTCAGGACATCTGGTTGCTGATATTGCCATGCAAGAAAAGAAAGTCTGAAGCTACAAAGAATTACAGTGGAAACATAGAATGTAAGACACATGAACTTGGGAAAGCTCAACACAGTGAAAGATTAAATAAATCAACTACGCTTTGCACCTTAGGCATCAGCAAATTGAAATGGACTGGGAGTAGACACTTTCAGTCAGAAGATCACACAATTTACTAGTTAGGACATGAAAAACAAAGAAGGAACAGCATTGCTTTCATGGTCAGGAAGGATATAGGAAGGACAGTACTTGGGTACAACACAATGATTGAATAATATTAATTAGACTTCACGGACAGCCCTTTAATATGATTATCAACCACTAATGCAGAAGAAGAGGAGGTCGACAAGTTTTATACTCAAGTTTAATCTGAAATCAACATGCAAACAGAATGTGCTGTTTGTGGTTGGAGGGCATAATCCCAAAGTTGGAAATAATGAGGAAAATTTAGTTGGAATGAATGGCCTAGGAAGCAGAAATGAAGCAGAAGGACTTATTTCTGCCAGTCCAATGAAAGTCTTGGAAAAGTTACTTTCTCTATCTACAAAAATCAGAATCATCCAGGCAACAGCTTTCCTGGACACTCTATCAATGTGAAAGTTGGACTTTGAAGAAGCAAGAGAGAAACAATATTGACATTTTTTAACTTTGGTGCTGGAGAAGACTCTTAAGAACACCATAGTTAGCAAACCAATCCGAGTTCTCACATGAGACACAAATGACCAGGCTCAAATTATTATATTTTGGACACATTATGCAAAGACATAGCTTCTTTGAGAAATCTACATTACTAATCTGTAGATTTAAATATATTCTAAATATATAAATCTATAAATTTGGAAAAGATGGAAAGAAAGAGAAGACAAAGACCAGTAGCAAGGTGAATGAATTCGATTACAGTAGCAATGGGTATACCATTGGGAAACCTAAATGGCCAGACTGGGAAGAAATCATCGTGGAGAAGGTCAGTCTATGTGGTTGCTAAAAATTAACACCGATTTATTGGCACATAATCAGATTAAAAGAAGTTTACAGAAACAAAAGAAATGCATTCTGAAAATATTAAATTGTATATTTTCTCACCTCAGAAGATCTGGTCAGCTTGATTGCAGTTTCAAAGCAGCTGTTCATAAAGAGCTGCAGTTCGTCAATATATTTATTCTGCATCAAGACAAAATATATATTTTTAGAACTATTTAGTTCTAAATAGTTTTTTAATGTCACAATACTCAATATAAAACTTTACCCTGTTAGATCAGTTCAATGCCCTCCAATCCAGCAGCTAAAATAATATATTCTTCATTATATCCTTCCAAAATGTTGCAATTATTAGAAAGAATCCATCACCTCTCACACAAACTATTTTATAATTTCTACAATGACACAAATAACTGGATTCAGTCCCTCCATTACAGTGACATCTGAAGAAATTCTCATACAAATACTAATACTAATAATAATGTACTTTACTGATTAGTCACGAGGCCATATCAAAATAGAAAACACAAGACAATAACAAAATAGACAAAACTAGAAGAAAATGCATTTCATATTTATCATCCCTATAGTTTACTCCAATCAGATCCATATATCCAATTGTACTGTTTTATTCAGATAAAAAGCCTTATTATATATAATACAGTGGTACCTCGGTTCATGAACTTAATTTGTTCCGCGACTCTGGTCGCGACCCGAGTTGGTCACGACCCGAATCAAATTTTCCCATAAGGTTCAATGTAAATACGGTTAATCTGTTC